GGGAGGGGAGGGAGGGAGGAAGGAAGGAAGGAAAGGGGGCAGAATATCCCTGCCTCAAAGAGTTTACAGATAAAATTAGACAAGGAGCACGTCAGATAATTCTGAATATATTCCAACAAATGTTTTTTTCCCCTCCTTCTTACTATTTATATTTCAACAACTTTTTGTCATATCACCCCAAAAGTCTACGAACTGCTGAGCTTTGCCTAAGATCTTGAGCTACAATGCGATGCACCTGGATTCAACGTGTCTTATTTTGTGGATTTTTTTAAAAAAAATGTTTTAACCCTTTCTAAATTGTTTTAATTGTTTTACAATTTTAGAATTGTAAGCTGCCTAAGAGTCATTTGGTTGGGTCGGGCAACTATAAAAACTGAATAAAACATGCAGAACGTGAGCTCAGCCTGGCCACCGTTAGTTCTCGACTTACAATTACAGTTTTAACCTGGATTCCTGCTTGTGTGGCCAACACCCAGATCCTGGATTCAAGATCTGTCCTACCTTTGATCTTTCACCCCAGACATGCTGCCAGAGAGGGGGGGGGGAAGAAGCCAATTAAACAGATTTTTCTTAGTCTTATTTGAAGATCCAAGAGGTTGAATCTACGACCTCATGTGTGTTCTATCGTGAAATTACAGCTTTGCCGGGAAACATCGGAAAAAAGCCCTGCGAAAATTTGGGCGACACCCACACAGCCAAGCTGAGTTAATTAATGCCAACACACCACGGCTGCCGACAACCAGCTTGCTCGTCTTTAAGCGGGCCCACACACAATTTTTGATTCCTTTCCAGCTCTGTACCGTAAACACACAGCATCCTTCACGGGTGCTCCCAGGAGGCACCTAATCATATTTGGTTTATTTTTTATTTGTACTCTGTCGAAATATACCCACCGAAGGATGAGCCGTTTGGAAAGGACCTACGTGCGTCAGCTCTATTTAGTCCACGGAGGCAAGAACACAAAGACTCACAAAGAAGAACAAAAAGAGGGGTGGACCACTACGATGCCAGCTTGGTTTGAAGGACCAGGCTGAAGGTTCGCCAAGCTTTTGCCTGGCATGTTGCTGATTTGTTCCCTTCCTGGTTTGAATAAACTATGGTTTCTGGGAGCTGGTTTATGTCAGCAAGGCAATCTCCAGTCTAAAAAGAGGACTCTGGGTTCAAAATATTGTGCTTTCAGTCAGAATGGAAATAAAGGGGATGAGTTTACCTCGTGTAAAAGCACTGTTTACCTAGGCCAGGGGTAGGCAACCTTGGCTCTTTTATGACTCGTGGACTTCAACTCCCAGAATTCCTGAGCCAGCATGGCTCAGCTTGGAAACCTCTCCCTTTCCCCTCAGCGTGGCTGGATCGGGAATTCTGGGAGTTGAAGTCCACGAGTCATAAAAGAGCCAAGGTTGCCTACCCCTGGCCTAGGAGACCAACGTCTTAATTTCCATCACTCTAACCCAAGGCTAGGCAACCTTGGCCCTTTTATGACTCGAGGACTTCAACTCCCAGAATTCCTGAGCCAGCTTGGCTCAGCTTGGAAACCTCTCCCTTTCCCCTCAGCATGGCTGGCTCAGGAATTCTGGGAGTTGAAGTCCACCAGTCATAAAAGAGCCAAGGTTGCCTACTCCTGGCCTAGGCCTAGGCCGCTTTGTGACTCGTGGACTTCAACTCCCAGAATTCCTGAGCCAGCTTGGCTCAGCTTGGAAACCTCTCCCTTTCCCCTCAGTGTGGCTGGCTGAGGAATTCTGGGAGTTGAAGTCCACCAGTCATGAGGGGGGCAAAGTTTTCCCCATGCCAGCTCAGGAATTCTGGGCATTGGAGTCCTCGAGTCATAAAAGAGCCAAGGTTGCCTGCCCCTGTCCTAGGGCTTGCTAAACAAACCTTGGTAAGTCCAAGGTTTATTTATTTCCTTTTTATTCAGTTGCCGTTGCTTTACGCATTTTCAGTGGACTGGCTAGAGGTTTCAGCAAGGCACAGAAACAAACCCAGGTAAGCACAAGCAAACATTTTGTGCCTGTGGATAAACCACTTTAAGGTAGAGATGCACGGAGTAAAACAGCTAGGCTTCCCAATACAATCAGTCCTCGACTTACGACGGTTGAGCCCCACATTTCTGTTGCTAAGAGAGGCAATGGCTGAGAACGTTTTGCCCCTTTTTACAATCTTTCTTGCCACAGTCGTTAAACGAATCCCTGCGGTTGTTAAAGGAGTAACCCGGTGGTTAAGTGAAGCTGGCTTCCCCCATTGACTTTGCTGGTCAGAAGGCCGCAAAAGGGGATCGTGTGGCAACCGGGACACTGCAACCGTCATAAATACAAGAGTCAGTTGCCAAGCGGCCGAATGTTGATACTGCGACGGTTGTGTGGGAGAAACAGTCAAAGGTCACACAACAAGCAAGCTCAGAGACCACCAAGGACCCCCTCATGTCACCCCTGAGCTACCAATATTCTCCTTTATTAGTGCTTTTTTCAACGCCGTTGTTACCTCTGAATAGTCACTAAAGGAACGCTTGTACGTTGAGCACAACCTGTAGTGATTTACTATCTGAAATTAAAGCTAGTTCTATTCCCATTTCAATTCTTGGCTAAAAAAAAATAGGAAAAATAAGGGGGAAAAAAAAAAGGCATTACCAAGTCAGAGCAGACCTAACTGGAGAAAGCAATAAGCTAGAATCCATTCATGCCAGCAAAATCACTACTGTGTGGGGATGTACTGGAGCTGTGCCCCGCCACTAAATTGCCTGATTAACAAATAATGGCTGAGCGTTATATGTGAATCACGGTTTGTTGTGCCAGGAAAGGCACAAACACGTCCTGACTTTGTTTTGTGGGTTAATCAGGCCACTTATTCAAATTGGACGGCAACTTGCCTTCAGGTTTAGGGAAACCGATGGGGGGGGGGAAAAACACCCGTCTTTTAAGGCAGCCTCAGCAAAATATCAGCCATGGCAAAAATGAGTTCCTCAAAGTAATTTATACAAACAAGCTGGACAGCCTCTCCTGCACGAAGATTTGTGCAACTTCTGGCTGCGTGTTTGTGTGCGCGTGTGTGTGTATAGATGGAAACTCGCGAATCCGTACTGCTGAAGCAATTTCCTGCGATATAATTCAGCCCCATAAAAAAAGATTACGAGATTATAGCTCCGAAACGTAAAACCTATATTTACAAACAGCAGCGATTTGTATAACCAAAATTGGATTTATGAAGGTTTTTGCAAAGCGGGCACACATTTAAATGAGGGACGTTTATTTACAGCATGAAAAATATAGACCGTTACAGAGGAAGGAGCACGGCCTGCACCGGATGAGGCCTAATTATAGGTCGTTCTCAACTTACAACCACAACTGAGCCCAAAATTTATGTTACTAAGTGAGACTTGTGGTGAGTTTTGCCCCATGTTACGTTCTTTCTTGCCGCATTTGTTAAGCGAATCATGCCATTATGTATTCAAGGTGGACGGTGATTAATATTTATATGTTACTTATATGTAAGGGTGTAGGTCTATACATATGTTGTATATAGTATGTTTAAATGTGTGTTATGTATGTGTACACTTTGAGAGCAAGCAACTAAATTTCATTTTTAATGGGTGCCATTGTGCCCACAGTAAAAAATGACAATAAAGGTTTTCTCTATCTATCTATCTATCTATCTATCTATCTATCTATCTATCTATCTATCTATCTATCTATCTCTATCTATTTATCTCAGGGGTCTTCAAACTTGGCCCTTTTATGACTTGTGGACTTCAACTCCCAGAATTCCAGTCAGGCACGCTGGCTGAGGATTTCTGGGAGTTGAAGTCCATAAGATATAAAAGGGCCAAGTTTGAAGATCCCTGATCTATCTATCATCTATCTATCTATCTATCTATCTATCTATCTATCTATCTATCTATCTATCTATCTATCTATCTATCTATCTATCCATCCATCCATCCATCCATCCATCCATCCATCCATCCATCTCTACCTATTTCTATCTATCTCTATCTATTTATCTATTTATCTATATTTCTCTGTCTCTCTCTGTCTCTCTCTCTCTACACACACACACACACACACACACACACACGGACTGCACGGATTCACTAAAAAACTGTGATCAACAAGATTGCAAAATCAGGCCCAACTGATTTAATAGGTGCTTTGCTGAAGAACAGAAATCCTGGTCCCGATTGCAGTCGTAAGCCGAGGACTCCTTGTAATTGGGGTGCCCGTTAAGGATATCTGCGCTCTCTCCCTCCAGCTGCTACATAACTAATCCTGACAAACAGTTCTTACAACATTATTCCTGCTGGATCTTTATGCTTGGGCAAGTGTAGGAGAGAGAAGGCGCTGTGGGTCTTAAGTTAGGGAGGGCTTTACATATTTTGCTGCAGATAAATGGAACCCGGAGCTTTTGAGGAGCGTCGATCTTAAAAATCCGCCCAGCTGAACAGATAAAGGAATGACGGACCACAGGCTGGTTTTACGGAACAAAAACCGCGAGTTAAGCTTTCTATCTCTACGTGCATTTTTTCCCTCTCGTCTTTTACACACAATCCTTTATCCAAGGTTCACAGTCAATGCCAATCCTGATGCATTTGCGCTGGGTTACAAAAAAAACAAACAAACAAAAAAAAACCAACCCAAGGATTTCCTTTAAAGACCCTATTAATTCATATTTTGAAAAACGCAAAAAGTTTGTATTATTCTAACACTTCAATTGAAACTCATTTGGTATTTACCACATACTAGCGTCTCCTCGCTGGAATTATTCTCTATTCTGCCTTTTCACTTAGAGATTTGTCATTTTCTGATTTCTTTGTTGTCTAGTATTTCTACACAATAGTCTGGTATTATATCCTTCATTATATTTCTGGCATCTTTAAAATAAAAAAACAACAACCAACCCACACAGTATACTCCAAAGATATTCTTCCGTAAACCTCAGCTGACAAAAACATTTCTACCAGGTATTGTAAGCAAAGACATGCATTTGTGATAAATCCTTATCTAACAAACACACAGACTTGTAAGAAAAATGTATCTATAGTATAAGCAGACGGGGGAAAAATAATAAAGGGTCTTACACTGGAGGATACATAAATATTATTGAAAATGGAAACATTTAATTCAAAAAAGTATCTGACACATAAAACATTTAGGCAAAACAATAGCAAACTGGGCCTGTTTTTACAGAAGTTCTCACTCTGAAGTGTCATTGTAACATTGGGGAAAAATACGATACATTACATAGTTTCACTGGATCTAAATTATGTGGAGTCAAGACTTAAAAGGACTGCAATTCATGGCATAGCACGAGGTAATCCAGTTTAGGATATGGGGATCTTGCAACCAAAGATTTATTTAGCAAATTATGGCAAAACCAATCACCAGCCACTTTTTGTGGCCTACAAATGGGTGGGGCTTTAGTTGAAAAAGGAAAATAGAATTAGTTAGAACAATTAACCAGTGGAACAACCTGCCTCCAGAAGCGGTGAATGTGTGTGTGTGTGTGTGTGTGTGTGTATGTGGGGGGAAATCACTCCCTGATTTGTGAGAGATATTTAAGAAACAAAAACCCAACGATGAATGCTCCAACACTGGAAGTTTTTAAGAAGAAACTGGACAGCCATTTGTCCGAAATGGTATAGGGTTTCCTGCCTGAGCAGGGGGTTGGACTTGATGACCTCCAAGGTCCCTTCCAACGTTATATTATTATTGTAGTAGTAGTAGTAGTAGTAGTAGTAGTAGTAGTAGTAGTAATAATAATAATAATAATAATAATAATAATAATAATAATAATAATAATAATAATAATAATAATAATAATAATAGAAATTAAGACACCATTAAACTAATTTAAGGGGGAAAGTGTCCCTTACAACTTTTGGCATGCTGTATCCCGGGCTACACCAATGTGTGAACTGGGTGTCTACAGCAGCTTTGCTAGTGATGAAGAATTAGAAGTTGTGTCCCTTGTGAAGCTGCTTTAAATAACTTCTGAGTTCCCTGTTGGAAAAGACCCAGGCTAATATCAGTCATGACTCTTCAGGTTTAAAGGCTTCTCGTTTGCATCTGTTGTCCCCATACTGGCTGGGGAATTCTGGGAGTTGAAGTCCATACATCTTAAAGTTGCTAAGATTGAGAAATACTGTGGTAATGGATGGCGATATAGATTAGGTATCTCTCATTTCATTCCATGTCTCTCCTGGACTAAATTATAACAACGTGATAAATAAAATTACTGCTACAGCTGCTTTGGGTATGTGTACAGCAAGACATGACGATGTTACATGTACAGCAAGATACGATGGTGTTACGTGTACAGCAAGACACGACGGTGTTACGTGTACAGCAAGACATGACGGTCTTATGTGTACAGCAAGACACGACAGTGTTACGTGCACAAGAAATGATGGTGTTACGTGCATAGCAAGACACAACAGTGTTACATGTACAGCAAGACATGACGGTGTTACGTGTACAGCAAGACACAACGGTGTTACAGATACAGCAAGACATGATGGTGTTACATGTAAAGAAAGACATGACGGTCTTACGTGTACAGCAAGACATGATGGTGTTATGCATACCAGCAAGACATGACGGTGTTACACGTATAGCAAGACATGATGGTTTTACACGTATAGCAAGACATGACGATGTTACGTGCACAAGAAACGACGGTGTTACATATACAGTAAGCCATGATGCTGTTATGTGTACAGTAAGCCACAATGGTGTTACGTGCACAGCAAGACATGAGGGTGTTAACCCCAGACCAGCAACGAGGCCAAAAGGGACACGGGATATCCTCTCTTAATCCACACATCAAAAGGGTTTTAAGGTTGACAAAGCAGAGACTCATTTAAGAATCTCACTGAGGTTGTTTAGCCACGATGGAATTTACAAACTCGAGCAAGAGCGACGACAAGCATATTGATAAAGAGACAGCAAGCAGAATTGCACCTTACCTGTAGGCATTTTTGGACACAGGTCGCGGGTCAAACTTAAAGAAAAGAATGCACATGGGTTACAGGTGGGGAAAGGTGAGTGGCTTTGCAGAGATGGTCAGCAAAAGGTCATCCTTCCAGGTGCCTGCTGCAAAGGAAACAGGGACAGCTGATCAGGCTCGGAAATGGTTCCGTTCATCCTGGTTTGTGATCCTATTACACACCACAGGTAGTCAACTTACAACAGTTGATTTAGCGACCGCTCAAAGTTGCAACATGGCTGAACAAACGGACATATGACTGTTTTTTCCCACTTGCAATCGTTGCCGCGTCCCCCTGGCCAGGTGATCAAAATCCAAATGCTTGGCAGGTGATCCGTATTTATGACAGTTACAGTGTCCCGGGGGGGGGGGATCATGTGATCCCCTTTTCCGACTTTCTGACGAGCAAAGTCAACGGGGAAGGCAGATTCCCTTAACAACCGTATTGCTAACCTAACAACCGCAGAGATTCTCTCAACAAGCGTGGCAAGGAAAAGTCGTAAAGTGGGACAAAATTCACTTAGCCACATAAATGTTGGGCTCAACTAGGAGGACTACCTAAACCTGGCTCCTCTCCAAAACCAGGTTTAAAGATTCTGGCTACATGTGGATGGTGCCGATCGGAGCCCTGGAAGGCTTGTTGAGTATTTTCCATGTTGGCCCACTAGGAAAAGTACCTAGCATTCAAACAGGAGATGTGCTTTCATCTCCTTCCCACTGAAAGATGTGAGTAACTGAAACGATCACCCTGTACTACATCTGCCAAACAGAAATAGCTTGCCTGTCTCGAGAGCTTTTCAGAATGCAGAGATGGAGGGGAAACGAATCAATAGCCGAACTCTCCGCTGCTCTGGATAATTGACTTCACCTTGCCCCAGTGAGCGATGATCAAGCGATTTTATTGAAAACAAATTAAATTACGTTTATGAGCCCAAGAGCACGGCTACCGACAAAAAGGGATCGCTTCCCGCTCCCACGCTGGGGACTCGGCTTCTCCTTCAAGATCTGCGATTCAGGGTGTCCTCCTTAAGGTACTCTGTATTTTAAAATTCCCACAGCGAAAGAAGAAAAAAAAGACATTTTCCATAGCGTTTCACCTGGCTCGGAACGGTACCAAAAATAACATTTAATCGCTCTGCTGTTGCTAGAGAGACACACTTAGCTGCAAAAACACCAAGGCCAGCACCAAAGCTGTGTGTGTTTCTGCTCAGATATTAAAAAGAACAATGATTGTATTTGATCAGGCAGGTAAAATTAATCAGGCCTTCCACTGCCTTTAAAAAGAAATCCATTTGCTAACCAGATTTGTAGGTCTCTGGAGCTGTGCCCAAGGCACAGCAGCGGGTGACAAGAGCTTTTACTATTACAGGTAGTCCTTGATTTACGACAATTGAGCTCAAAACCTCTGCTGCTAAGTGAGACAAACCAATCGACAAACCCACCAAAGAATCTTGTTGAATGTTAATTAAGCCAGTTATGTCCTTGTTTTCTCCACTAGTGCTGGTTGAGGAACATCAACTTGTCTCGAGATGAAAGATAAACTGAATTTCGCGAGCATCCAGAGTTTAAAAGACCCCTATGGATTCACAGTGAGTATCCACTGCCTTCTTTATGGTGGGTTTTTTTTTGGTCAAGTTTACTCTACAATTCTGATACAATTCCCAAGAGCTCCCTCATCCAAACATTAACCATGATCATCTTCCGAGGTCAGTCAGACAGGTGCTGCCATCTACTGTGACAATCAGGTTATGGGAAGCTACAGTAATGGCTTTAAAAAAAAAAAAAAAAAAAAAGCTGCCCCACGTGCGAATTGATTAGAAGCCGGCATTGTTTAAAGCACCTTTAAACTCAACGGGCAATTCTTAAAGATGACTACAAAGCTCTAAAGGTGAAGTTATTATTAATGACATGCTGGCGGGAGCAGCCACGAAAAGACCAGACCAGAATGAGATATAAATCAAAGGGTGATGGGTACATTAAGGCTGACATTTCCAATATTTTGTCTGTCTCGCATCGCTGCTTCTTATTATCGCCCTTTGCTCCATATTTTATTTATTCTAAGTGATTAGCTTTATAGAGATCTGTTAAAAACATGACAGCTTAACATTGTTATAATAATTGAAATCTATTCAGCGCCTTGATTTGCCAGTTTGTTGTCTAACCAATGCAAAATGCTCACTTAGAAATCTATTTGAATAGAGAACAGCACGGTTAAGATTTTATAAAAACGCAGCGGGTTTTGATTTTTAAGTCGTCCTCAAAACGAAAGGGGAGGGAAAAAAAATCACAACTGTTTTTACCAATGGGATCAAACCAGGGCATGTTTCTCAAACGTGGCTGTTGAAGATGTGTGGACTTCAACTCCCAGAACTTAGATGTCTCCCTGAAAAGCATCCCATAATTAAAAAGATCACGTGGTGACATCACTCAGGAGAGGTCTCCGAGTTCCTCACCATGCGATGAATCTAGATGTACGAGCTTTTATTTTAATGGGCACAAGAGGTGCCTGTTCGTATTGTCCATTTTTATGGCCAACTTGGACTTCAATTCTCTTTGTAGATTTGAATAGAAAACCTGAAATGCAGGGTCCTTTTTTTCAAAATTGACCACGCTACTTTTTCTTAATATTTATGCCGCTCCAGAGCTTTCCTGGGGTTAAATCACGATCAGAAATATGATACAGGCAGTCCTTGACTTATAACCACAACGGAGCCCAACATTTCGACTGCTAAGCCAGTTGTTAAACGGGTTTTGCCCCAGTTTATGACTTTTCTTGCCAAAGTTGTTAAGTGAATCACTGCAGTGGTTAAATTAGGAAAAGGTTTCTTAAGTGACCCTGTGTTCCCCCATTGACTTTTACTTGTCAGAAGGTTGCAAAAGGGGATCGCATGACCCCAGGACACTGAAGCGGTCATAAACACGAGTCAGTCGCCAAGCATCCGAATTTTGATCACGGGAGTGCGAAAAAGAGTTAGAAGTCACTTTTTTCAGTGCAGCTGTAACTTTGAATGGACACTAAATGAACTGTTGTAAGTTGAGCACTACCTGTATTTTACCTGTACAGTATAGAATTGTTTGAGCCACACTTGTTGCTGTAGGCAACCTTGGCTCTTTTATGACTGTTGGACTTCAACTCCCAGAATTCCTGAGCCAGCATGGGGGAACTATGGCCCCCTCATGACTCGTGGACTTCAACTCCCAGAATTCCCGAGCCAGCATGGGGGAACTATGGCCCCCTCATGACTCGTGGACTTCAATTTCCAGAATTCCTGAGCCAGCATGGGGGAACTATGGCCCCTTCATGACTCGTGGACTTCAACTCCCAGAATTCCTGAGCCAGCATGGCTCAGCTTGGAAACTTCTCCCTGGCTCAGGAATTCTGGGAGTTGAAGTCCACGAGTCATGAAGGGGCCAAGGTTGTCTACCCCTGCTATAAAGTGTTGATTATTTTTTTTATTATTATTAGGGATATATCCACAGCAAAGGCTGCAGTTAACAGATTTTCGAGGGATATAGAGACAAAAAGGCAGCAGTATAAAGCTTGTGGATTTTTTTTTTTAATCCTGCAAAAGCCCGTGCTCTTTGCAAGACAAATCACTGAGGAAGTGATTTGGTTTCCTAAGTTGTACAGAATAAATGTTGCAGACTGGAATGAAGTGCTAAAGAACAGCTGAAATATGCAAGGGTAGAGATAATTAGAAGCAATATTATGCTGAAGAACTCTTCTGAAAGGGATCAGAAAGCCATTGGAATTCATGCTAGCTTGCAGTTTACTGGATAAAATATGCATCCATTTATAAAGCAACAATTCGACAATGTTAATTTCTAATTTCCTGTTCTGGTGACTAAGAATACTTTCTAAAGCATATACAGGAGCTATCATTTTCAAAGCCTTTGGACTTTTGATGTTTATTTCACTGTTCGAGCCATATAAACTTTGACACAAGCCAGAATTACTTTATTATTTATTACTTTTATAGCCCATATAAATTTCCAGTCCTTTCTCTTCACAAATCATGAAGCAACAAAAGTAGATAATGCATATAATAGCTTAAGCATGGTATGAATCCAGCCACTGTGATTTGTAAATCATGGTTTATAGCTCAGCAGAATGTGAATTCAGCCAATTGTGCCCAGAGATCAGGGTGATCCCTGATCTCCCTTCCTTCCGCCGCGCCCTCAAGACATGGCTGTTCCAACAAGCGGGACTGGCCTAGGATAATTTTTTAAGAGGGGTTTTTTAGAGGGGTTTTTAATTACTTTTTAATTAGACAATTTAAATATTTCATTTTAATTAATTTTAACTTGTGATTGTTAGTGGTGTTTTTTAATTGATTGTCAGCCGCCCTGAGTCCGCAAGGAGAANAATAAATAAATAAATAAATAAATAAATAAATAAATAAATAAATAAAGAAAAATGTTCAAAGATTATGGTTTATGGTGAGGTCAACCCAACTATTGTTTAACCTACCACACTCTGGATAGGCAACTTTTATTATAGGTTGCCTGTTCTGGTTTTTCTTTATTTAGGAAAAATGTGAATGTCCTTGGCGTTCAAATATGGGTTGAATTTAGAAATGCAAGAATTATTTAGAATACTAGCTAAGAAATATTAATCAATCCAAATAATATTTTTGGAAGACATACACACATTTCATTAAAATAGGTTTAACCGTGCACTTGAGTATCAATTCCACTCAACCGAGATGAAAAGATTATTTCTTTTTTATGAACTGTATTATACTATCTCATCAGAAAATCTCCATATATTATCATAAAAAAAAACAAGAATCCTCTTTCATTGACGTGTGAAAGGCTAGTTCAATCTCCTTAATTAGAATCTTACAAAGTAACTTTGAATTCCTCTAGAATTCAATTCTAAAACTAGAAACTAGTTTTAACTTAGATCTTTAGTACCAATTTTCTATTCTTCTTATAGCCTCATAAAGTCTAGGTTAGAGTTGACTTAGAATTGTTTTGCTTTTTTGTGTCTAAGGAAATTGAAAATAGCTTACGCAATAATGAATTTCTTAAGATGCCACAAAACCCACACATTTATTTTCATACATCTAATTATAGCTGGTTTGGTCCCATCCAAAAGACAGAATAAAATTCCTAGTTGCAAGTTTACCTACTACCCAGGTCTGCTGAGGAAAAGCAATTAGTCTTTAATATGTCCTTAAGTTTCCCTACTAGGGAACAAAAAGCAAAAATCCCAAACAAACAAAAAACAGATGATCTTCCTGTTGTAGCCAAAAATTGCTTTGAGGAAAATTGCCACAGTTGCCTTGATGTGTTTCAACTAAAGATTACATTTGTTCCATATGGTGAAAGCGGTAACGAACAGACATCTGAAATCATTTATTTAGTAGTGATATTTTAAAAAGGGTGGAATCGGGTCCAGAATTTAAATAACTGTAACTCAGAATAGGACTCCGCAGTCATAATAAAATGTTCTGCCAATTGGTCCAAGAGTGAGCTGCCCTGAACACAGTTGGATTTATTCCCAAAGAAGTAGGCAGTGGAACACAGTAACAAGGGTGCATGAAACTCAGAACAGCTTATACCAGCTAGCTGAAACGTCTCAAATTACAGATAGTCCTTGTGAAGGACTGTTCAAAGTTACAATGGCATTGAATTTGTTTTGACTTATGGCTGTTTTTCACACTTAGGACCACTGGAGCATCCCTATATAAATGTTTAGGTGTGTGTCATGTATGTGTTTCATTTTGAGAGCGGGCAACTAAATTTCATTTTTGATGTGTGCCGTTGTGCCCACAGTAAAAAAAAAATGACAATAAAGGTTATCTATGGTCACATGCACAAAATTCAGAGGCTTGGCAACTGACTCGTATTTACGACAGTTGCAGTGTCCCAGGTTCACGGGATCTGCTTTTGGACCTTCAGACAAGCAAAGTCAATGGGGAAGCACAACTGCAATGGTTTGCTTAATGACGGTGGCAAGAAAGGTCATTAAATGGGGCAAAACTCAGTGAACATCTGTCTCACTGAGCAGCAGAAATTTTGGGCCCTGTCGCAGTCGTAAGTTGAGCACTATCTATATCTAATGAGAACCTTTCCTACTCCCTACCAGTTGCTTGGAAATGACCCTGAAACCCAGCGGTAAATCTGATTCTTCATTTACAACAGACATGTCAAACACAAGGCCCGGGGGCTGGATGCGGCCCACGAAGTGGTTTCATGTGGCCCGCGAAGCCATCCTGGAAACAGTGAGGGAACGACCCCCACTGCCTTGGCCCTGGGCCAGGCCAGCCGGGAGCCAGTGTACAATTTTGTGGTGGCCATCTATGCTGAAACACGTTCAGTCTTAGCTCCACAAGCCCCCCCCCTGCATAGCCTGAGAGGAACAGCGAGGCTCCTCCAGTGGACCATGTCTTGGCACTTGCCCTGGTCCCACCCACTTCTGCCAGAGACCCTCAGATCTATCCCACTCCTGTCCAGGCCCCCACAGGCACCCTTGACGTGAACGATGTAGAGCTGGCCACTCCCACCCACTCCATCCACGCCCACCCAGTAGGCCGTACCCACCCTGGCCACACCCACCCGGGCCCCTGAGGGCAACCACAATGCTGATGCGGCCCTCAATGAAACTGAGTTTGACACCCCTGATTTACAAGGTGTATGGACCCTTTTCGTTATCTTAAAAAAACTAACAAAAGAATTGTCCTACTCTGCAACCAAAAGCATCTCTTCTTTTCGTTCCTGTAGTAGTGAAAGGTTTCAGATTTGCAAGATTTTGTCAATGTAGCCTTAGGCTAAAGTAGAGTTAGTACACCTGCTAGCATTTCCTGTCTGGTTTATCTGGTAAGGCTGATATCAATCTTGCAAGAAAGAGGGAGTATTCCTTCTGGGTCTCTTTCTCCACCCATTATGCAGCAGCAGGCTATGCTGTCTCTTATCTGACTATTCCCTAGGCCAGGGGTCCCCAACCTGTGGGCCTTGGCCCACGGCCGACTGGCCACTGGGCTGCATGAATAGCTGGCCAGTGACTAGATTAGATAACCTTTACTGTCATTTTTTTCCTGTGGGCACAACGGGACACGTTAGAAATGAAATTTAGTTGTTTGCTCTCAAGCGTTACTTACTTACATAATACACATTTAAAATATACTATATCTACAACCAATCAAAATCAGACAGCATCAAAGACTCCGCAGGATCAACAATTAGACTAACCACATTCATGGCCTGAGTCAATAATTAACCCACACATCTGGGTTTGCACAATATACTGACCCACACAGTCTGTAAAGCCATCATGTCTTTAAATAATGGTCTCTTAAAGAGACTAAAACACATGGTTTAGTCCAGGGGTTTTCAAGCTTGTCCCTTTTATGACTTGTGGACTTCAACTCCCAGAATTCCTCAGCCAGCGTGCCTGGCTGAGGAATTCTGGCAGTTGAAGTCCACAAGTCATAAAAGGGCCAAGTTTGAAGACCCCTGGTTTAGTCACTTGTCAAGCATTTTAAACCAGCTATCCTAAGCTAAATTCACTCTAATGTGATACAAATGTCCAAGCTTTATTTTCAAAGTCATTATGGAGGCAGGATAAAGCAGCTTGCACTGACTCTGCAGAAGAAAATCTATGATATGAGAACAAAAAAGTGCATTTCAGAGAAAGCCAGGACATTTGCCCTCTATATCAATAAAATAGGACAAAAGGAAAAATGCTTTTTTTTCGCAACTTGGCCTGGCTCAGAAAACCCACAAAACTCACATTTAATCCAATTACTATATTACCCCATTTTCTGGGTCTAGACTAGAGCTATGTTGTTTTTAAACTCTTATTTTTATCTTTTAAATTCACACAGCTTGCTTTCAGTCGTTCTTATGCATTGGATTGTTTTATTATGCATACGTCCAGCATCACCCTTGTATGTGAGATGGGCAGCTATACAGGTAGTCCTCAACTTACGACCACAATTGAGCTTATTGCTAAGAAAGACAGTTAAGTGAGTTTTGCCCCCTTTTAAGAACTCTCTGACCACAGTTGTTAAATGAATCCCTGCAGTTCTGTTAGTAATAAGTTGTTAAGTGAATCTGGCTTCCCCATTGACTTTGCTTGTCAGAAGGTCACAAAAGGGGATCACATGACCCCAGAACAATGGGAACTTGGAGAGCATCTAGTCTCACCCCTGGACTGCCAGACAACAGCTTTCATCCATGCAGTCCTTGACTTATGACCACAACTGCTAAGTGAGACAGTTGTTAAGCGAGTTTTGCCCCATTTCACGACCTTCTTTGCCGCAGTTGTTAAAGTGAATCACTGCAGTTGTTAAGTTAGTAACACGGTTGTTAAGTGAAGCTAGTCAGAACAATTAACCAGTGGAACAACCTGCCTCCAGAAGCGGTGAATGCTCCAACACTGGAAGTTTAGGGTTTCCTGCCTGAGCAGGGGGTTGGACTAGATGACCTCCAAGGTCCCTTCCAACTTTATTATATTATTATTATTATTATTATTATTATTATTATTATTATTATTATTATTATTATATAAGCTGGCTTCCCCTATTGGCATCGCTTGTTAGAAGGCCGCAAAAGGGGATCCTGTGACCCCAGCACCCTGCAACTGTCATAAATATGAGTCAGTTGCCAAGCGTCTGAATTTTTTTTTAAAAAAATATTTTATTCAAATACAAATACTACAAACATAACACATATAAATCTAAATAAAAAAATAGTATAAAAAATACAAATACTACAGTGCACCCACACCCCTGGAGACCATTTTTATTACCTATGTTTCTTCTCATATAACAGCTAACAATATATTTCAATTGTACCTTTATCCCCTCCAAAACAGCATGTATTCTTGAGCAGGTTTATTCCCTTTGCCTTCCACCAAGACTGTTTTTATAAAATCATCCCATATTTCAATCCAAGCATCTGAATTTTGATCACGTGAACACAGGGATGCTGCCACGGTCGTCTGAAAGTCACTCTTTTCAGTGCCGCTGTAACTTCAAACGGCCACTAAACGAATGGATGTAAGTCGAGGACTACCTATACAAATGTGACAACTGCCACACAACAACCCTGCGAAGTAGACCGAGCCGATAAAGGGTCCAAAGTCCCCAGGGCTGAGGGGAGACTTAAACCCCGCTCTCCCTGCCCCGAGTCCTCCCACAGCGAAGGTCCATGCCTTCAAACCCATCATCCCCAGCTAAAGAGATGCCGCGGCGTATTTAGACTTCCCGGACTACAACTCCCACAATCCCTTGTCAGGGAGTTACAGGCGGGGGCCGATGGGACTTGAAGTCCACTGTCAGTGCCCGAACCATCCCCCGGCCCAAAGGTAATCGTCGCTCCCGTCAGGCCCCGCGGCCGTCCCCCCCAGACCCTCAGGGGCCCCGCTTCCGGTCCAGCGCCCCCCACTTCCGGGCCCGGAGCGATGGACCCCAACTCACCCTCAGCGGCTCGTGCGGCACCTTCAACTTCCACCCAGCAGCCGCTTCCGGGCGCCGCCACCCACCATTCAAGAAGCAGCGCCCCGATTGGCCCGCCGCGCCTCCTCCGCGCGCGCACGCGCCCTACGCCGAATCGACTCCCCTCCTCCTCCTGCCCCGCCCCTTTGTGCTCCGCGCGCCGCGCCGATTTAGCTCGCTTTTTCCCGGTCGCTCTGGAGACGCCGCCGTTCCGCTTGCTTTCCTCCCCTCCCTCCGACGGTGTTCGCTCTCTCTCGCTCCCTCCCCGGCTCTTCCTTCTTTTGCTCGCTCCCCCCTCCTCTCCTCTTCCCCCCCATTTCTCGGTCGAATGGCTTTGCGCCTTTGCAGGGATCAGCAAAACTTGCATTTTAATTTTTTTTTATTTTATTTAAAAAAAGAGAAGGCAATCAAGGGAAGGCCACGGCGTTGTGGCTTGCAGTTCCAACTTTCAAATGCCAGGGCGGTGGGTTGAGGAGGGGGGGGCACCCCCAGAAATGCCTGGGCAAGCTTGCTTAGCTCAGCGGTTGCGCCGTGCAAAGTGCTTTTTCTGTAAATAGCCGAAGTCCCGCCCTGTGCTATTGATCCCTTCCATTCGTCTAGCCCGTGCTGCAGGGGAAATCCCTTCTCAGACGGGCCCAGCCCTGGCAAGCTCTATTTGCCCCTATTTCCCCCCCCCCTCCATGCCCCCTGTAAAACACGAGAACTGCGCTTCTCTCCCCCCCACCACCCCTAACCCGGGTTCACACGACCCTGCTTGGCTTTGCAGGCTCTGGGCTGCAGAGGCCGAGAGAGCCCCGGGTGTCGCGGTTTTGCAAGCCGAGCTGCACCCTTCGCACCTCTGCCTTCTTGCCCGGCCCGACGGGAGGACCCCTCCCCGCCCCCCGCTTCGCTTTAAGCCAGGAGGTAGGGTGGGCGTGTTCGTCTGAAGAAGCCTCCCTTGGATGCCAGGAACCAGCTTGGCTTGAACGGCGCCCCCACCGGCCAACGCCCCCCCATCACCACCCCTCCCAGGGAGGGGGGGGACACGTTCAGTGGACCGTTTCCAACGCGGACCCTCCCCATTCTTTTAATTCCCGGAGGGGGGGAGAGAGAAAGAATCGAGGAGGGTCGTGGGAACGCAGCCCCGGAGGCTGGACGGCCGAGGCCAACTTGGCAGCGCTGTGTCTCGCCCCGACGCGTGAAGGAAGGCGGGTCGCGGGAATGCAACCCTTGGGAAGGGACCCCGGGACTGAGAAACCACGGGTGTGTCTCTGTGTGTGTGTGCGCGTGTATGAATGTGCTCTTCCCGGACTAGCCAGGCTGGGAGTGAGGGGTGGGCTACCCTAGCTGGAGTGAGTGGGGGGGCCGAGTGGGGGGCGGGTGGGAGAGGTGGGTGGAGCCAGCCCGGCGGCGCCGCCCCCTGCCTCCCTCCCTCCCTCCCTCCCCTCCTCCTCCCGCTCGTGGGAACCCGCCGGCTCTCGCGCGGCGCAGGGCAGAGCGCTCGCGGCGGGCGCGGAAGATGCTCAGCGGTCCTCGCGGCGGCCTCCTCCTCCTCCTCTTCCTCCTCCTCCGAGCAGCGCAGCTCCTCCGCCCGAGGCCAGGTCTGCACCTTTCTCCCCTCGCGTCCCCCCCCCCATCCTCCTTCCTCCTCCCCCCCCCAGCCAGGCTTGCCTTGAAGACCCCCCACCCCTTCCCACCAGGCTGCTGCGGCTGCTTTACAGGAGCATCCCTTTCTTCTTCATCCCTTGCACGGGAGGCATTGTTGCGAGGCGTGGGGAAGGGAGGGAAAGGGAGGGGAGGAGAAGGGTGGGCAGCAACGCCCACCGGCTTGCAAAAAGAAGAAAAAGGGGAAAAATAAAATAGGAGAGCGACCCGCAACTGCTTGGGGCTAAACAAGACCCCGCTTTGTGCCGCGTGGGAACCCTGCAGTGGGAGGGGTGGGTGGGTGGGGGGCGGAGAGAGGCGCCCCGCCCCTCTTTCGCCTTGGAAAAAAGGCTCCGGAGGGTCCCCTTGGGATGGAAGGCAGTGGGGAGGGGAAGGGAAGGGAGGGGAGGGGAGGGGGGGAAGAAGGAAGAAAGGCGAGGCTGTCCCTTGAGGCCGGGAAAGAAAAATGGGGAGGGGGGGAATCCCTTCTCTCTCTCTCTCTCTCTCTCTCTCTCTCTCTCTCTCTCTCTCTCTCTCTCTCTCTCTCTCTCTCTCTTCTCCCCCACCACCCACTCCTGAAGCTGCTCCAGGGTTCCCGGGTCCCCCCACCTGCGCTCCCCAAACTTCTCCTTGGCTTGCAGCCTGCTTTCCCAGGGATCAGCCAGAAGTTGATGGAGGTGGGTGGGTAAGTGGGTGGGATGGGATTTGGGGTGGGGTGGGGAAATGGGGGCTGCCAGGCGGGGTTGCCAAGCCTGGGTTCCATCTCTGCTTGCTTCCCGTTGTGGAAAGGCGGTGTCTAGAGCCCTCCTGGCCCCTTGAGGTGAAGCCTTATTGGTATTGTGGTGTCTTTGACCGTCTTCTGCGCTGTCCTTTGGGACAGGGGTCTGCAACCTTGACAACTTTAAGACTTGTGGACTTCAGCTCCCAGAATTCCTCAGCCAGCATAGCTGGCTGAGGAATTCTGGGAGCTGAAGTCCACAAGTCTTAAAGTTGTCAAGGTTGCACACACCTCTGCAATTTGGGATGAAGTCCTGAGTTGTTAGACTGGCTGGCTGTGTGTGTGTGAGAGAGATCCTTGTGATGAAGGATGCTTTTTTCACCTATTTGGGTTGGTAGGAAGGTGAGTGGGCCTGACCCTGCAGAGCCCATATTAACAGGTAATCCTCGACTTACGACCACAATCCAGCCCAAAATCTCTATTGCTAAGTGAGATGTCGGCTGAGTGAATTTTACCCCATTTTACCTCCTCCCTTGCCCCGTTCGTTAAGTGAAGCTCTGCACTTGCTAAGTTAGCCACGCCGTTGTTAAGTGAATCTGGCTTTCCCATTGCCTGGTCAGAAGGTCGCAAAAGGAAATTGCGTGATCCCGGGGACGCTGCAACCGTCATAAATACGAGTCAGTTGCCAAGCGTCTTGAGTTTCGATCAGGTGGCTCTGGGGATACTGCAAAGGTTGTTAAGTGTGAAAAACGGTCATAAGTCTCTCTTTTCAGTGGTGTTTGAAGAGTCGCTAAAGGAACTGTTGTAAGTCAAGGACTACCTGTATTTTGTAGGGGTCCTTGGTGCTCTCCGAGTTTGGTCCTTTGCTTGCAGACATTTTATTACCCAACTAGGTAACATCATCAGTGCTAGAAGGGAGTGGGGTTTACAAGGAGGAGGAGGATTCTGGGGTCCTTGGTACTGTCTGAGCTTGGTGGGGTTTTTTGCAGACGTTTCATTACCCAAACTAGGTAACATCATCAATGTTAGAAAGGAATGGAATTTATGGGGAGGGAGGGAGGGAGGGAGGGAGGGAGGGAGGAAGGAAGGAAGGAAGGAAGGAAGGAAGGAAGGAAAGACGTACTATAGGGTCCTTGGTGCTCTCTGAGTTCGGTTGTTTGCTTCCAGACATTTTATTACCCAAACTAGGTAACATCATCAGTGCTAGAAAGGAGTGGAATTTATAGGGAGGGAGGGAAGGAAGGAAGGAAGGACTATAGGGTCCTTGGTGCTCTCTGACTTCGGTTCTTTGCTTCCAGACATTTTATTACCCAACTAGGTAACATCATCAGTGTTAGAAAGGAGCGACAAGCAGATAGGAGAAGGAGGAGGACTGTGGGGTCCTTGGTGCTCTCTGAGCTTGGTGCTTTTCTTGCAGACGTTTCATTATCAAGCTAAAACGGGACTAGAATTCACAGTCTCCTGGTGATTGGCCCAAAGTCACCCAGTTGTCTTTCATGCCTAAGGCAGGACTAGAACTCCGTGTCATCTCCTGATTGGTCACCCAGCTGGTTTCATGGCTAAAGCCGGACTTGAACTCGTGATCTTTTGCTTTCTGGCCTGATGCCTTAACCACTAGAAGAGCAGAAGACGGGTCTCATTAATTAAGGGTTCATTTCCTTTGAAAAGGCTGGCTGAAAGGGGTCAAATATCGACCCCAAGGTTTGATGGGACCATCCAAGAGATGTGGATATTATCACAGTTCATTGTACAGCCCGCCAGCGGTTCAGACGGTGTGGAATTTTAGCCTGTCTATTGAGTCCTTCCTGTTTTTATTCTCTGTAGTATGGTCAGTTAAAGTTAAATTATTTTTGTGTACTAAGTATTTGAGGGTGATGGGGAATCCTGAAACGTTATTAAAGAGGCAAGGAGCGGAAGAGTTTGTTACCATGTGAATTATCAGCATGAGTGAAACTCTGCATGGATTCCGACCTATAGTATAGGTAAGACCTCGACTTACGACCGCCATCGAGCCCAACCTTTCTGTTGTTAAGCGAGACATTGGTGAAGTGAGTTTTGCCCCATTTTACGGCCTTTCTTGCCACGGTGGTTAAGTAAATCACTGCAGTTCTTAAGTCGTGGTGTGACTCTGGCTCCCCCTGTCAGAGCGTGCACGGTCTTATTGCGCTGAGATAACCCAGGAGTAAACACAGTAAACAGTGGTCTATATTAAATGGTGGTTTATCTTACACTGTCCAGGAACAACATACATACACGTATAAGGAACGGTTGATGGAACTGGGTATGTCTAGTTTAACGAAGAGAAAGACGAGGGGGGACATGATAGCAGTGTTCCAATATCTCAGGGGCTGCCCCAAAGAAGAAGGAGTCAAGCTATTCTCCAAAGCGCCTGAAGGCAGGACAAGAAGCAACGGATGGAAACTCATCAAGGAGAGAATCAACCTGGAACTAAGGAGAAACTTCCTGACAGTTAGAACAATTAACCAGTGGAACAACCTGCCTCCAGAAGCGGTGAATGCTCCAACACTGGATGTTTTTAAGAAGAGACTGGACAGCCATTTGTCCGAAATGGTGTAGGGTTTCCTGCCTGAGCAGGGGGTTGGACTCGATGACCTCCAAGGTCCCTTCCAACTTTTAATAATAATAATAATAATAATAATAATAATAATAATAATAATAATAATAATAATAATAATAATAATAATAATAGTGTTAATACAGCAGGCTCC